GAATCTTAGAGCTACTTTAGTTACCCAGCCTGTTGCCATTGGGTTGATTCCGACTCCCAGTGACCCTGTAGGACAGAGAGAACTGCCCCATAGGGTTTCCAAGGAGTGGCTGGTGGGTTCAAATTGCCAACCTTTTGGTTAGCAGCCGAGCTCTTAACCACTGTGCCACCAGGGCTCCACTTCAGCTACACGAACCCTCCAACTGGCCGTGTTTTATTTTAGGCATCCCTTCAGTGTAGACACATCTGACCCAGCTCCTGCTGCACGGGAATGGTGGGAGCTGGTGTCAGGTACTCTGGCTGGGGGACCCTATCACGAGCTTCAGGTCCCCCCCCGAGTGGGGCAGGCCGTATCTGATGAGCTCGTCGTGGCCTGGCCTTCCCTGAAAGGGCCGAGCGGTCTGCACTCTAGAGTTAGACTCTGGAAACAGTCTCACAGCACCCTCAAGGGCAGCAGACTCACTGCAGGTGGCAGGGCTGGGGGTCCACGGCCTCACTCCCGAGAAGGAGGTGTTCTTTTGTCTTTCAGGAGGTGCCTGCCAGCCCCCCAGTTCCCAGCACTCACTGGGACGTTTCTCTGCCAGCCACCCCCACCCCAAACCTCAGGAGGTGTTGTGTAAAAAACACTGCAGTGGGCTTGTACATTTTAAGACAGTAGGTCTTTGCTCAGATGTCCCCGTGGTTTATTTTCAGAGGAAAACACCTACGACGAATATGAAAATGACCTCGGCATCACAGCTATCGCTCTCTACGATTACCAGGCTGGTGAGTCGCCCACAGCTGTGCTTGGCCACGGGGTGGGGGTGGGGGGGCAGGGGCTTGACAAATGTTCCTGACTTTACAGTCATTTTCCAATCATTCTTGTCTTAAGAGTGTTTTTACAGTTATTACAATTTTAAAAAATAATTTGAAATAATGTCAGTTACAGAAGTTGCATATAGTATCAAGAACTCTTGTATTTCCTTCATCCAGATTCCTCCTCTCTCCCTGTCTCCCTACACACCACACACGTACACATGTGAACACGTGCATACATGTACACGTGTGTGTATGCAGGTACACACGTATACGCACACACATGCGCACGTGTCCACACATCCCTTTCTTTGCCATCAGTCTTTCTTTGAACATTGAGGCAGGCAACTGCAGAGACCCCCCCAGCACCCTAAGTGCTCCAGTGTGACTCCCCCAGAAGTGGGGACACTGCCTAGCCTGACCCCACTCCACCCTCCAAGTCAGAAAGTCCCCTCAGGAGCATGCGGCGCCCACAGACCCTTCCACGCTGACCCCCTAGCCCCTCCTAGGCGGTTCCTGCATGATGTTGTCGGGTCTGCAGCCACCGCCCAGTCTTTGCTGCCCTGTAGAGGGCAGCCTGGTGTCCTGGGGGTGGCCCTCCAGGTAGGAAGGCCACACGGTGCGGGCCTCTGTGGTTCACACCGCGGCACACAACGCCTGCCTGATCCTGCTGTGATGTCCACCACGGCCACCGAGCGGTCCCCACGTCTCCCTGGCTGTGTGTGAGTGGTTGGTGGAGTGACACATAGAGCCTGCCGAGGCCTGTTCCTCATCACCACAGCCTCCTCTGATGGGCTGGCTCCCCGTCTCTATCCTTCCTGCTCAGCGAGGGGCCTTCCCTCCGCCATTCACCCACTTACACATACATGCGTGTCGTTGTTAGATGCCACTGAGTCAATTCTGACTCGTATCGACCCCATGTGACAGAGTAAAACTGCCCTATAGGGTTTTCTAGGTTGTAATCTTCATGACTGGGTCAGGGGAGCCCTGGTGGTGCAGTGGTTAAGAGCTACGGCTGCTAACCAAGAGGTCGGCAGTTTGCATCCACCAGCCGCTCCTCGGAAGCCCCGTGGAGCAGTTCTGCTCTGTCCTGTAGGGTCGCTGGGAGTCGGAACGGACTCGACAGCAGCAGGTTTGGTTTGGGTTTCGATTTTTAATCTTCACAGGAGCAGATCACTGGGTCTTTCTCCTGCAGAGCCGCGGGGTGGGTTTGAACCGCCAGCCTTTCAGTCAGCAGCTGAGCACTTAACTGCTGTGTCATCAGGGCTGCGTCGGGGTTCTGTGAGGCGTGTGTGTTTTTTAGAAAGCCATGAGTTAATGCGGAAACTTCCCACTCCAGTCCATCACCGTGGGTTCTTTCTAGGCTTCTCCACCTCCCGTAGTCACAGCGCTTTCTCCAGCCCAAGAAGCCTGCTTTTCCAGGTTTACTAGTTTGCTCCCAACCGCTCAACCACTCCAGCTGTCCCTCCACTCCCTGCCCCCGACGACATCCTCAGGGACCACGGGCGAGCTGCCAGTGACAGGGACTCAGACACGCCTGCCAGGACTTGTCCCTGCTGGGAAGGGGAGGGAAGGTTAGGTGGGAAAGGGAGGCTTGCGATGTAAATGTTTCTTGAAGGAGTCAGCCTGGTTTGGGATCTGTGTGCTGTCTTGAAGGGCTCCGCTCAGCCTCTGCAAGCACCCAGTCTGTGTTCAGAGATGCGGGCCTTCGGTGAGCAGTGAAAAAGTGAAGCCTTCCACCGAGGCCCGGGCCGCCACGGGAGGGGCTCGCTGCACACTGGGCTGCTTCCGGGGGCCTGGCCTTTCTTGTCCTTTCCAGTAGAAGCGGAGAACGGTTTCCTTTTAACTTCCCTTTATTCATGCTCTCTCCCTAGCTGGCGACGATGAGATCTCGTTCGACCCCGATGACATCATCACCAACATCGAGATGATTGACGACGGCTGGTGGCGCGGGGTGTGCAAAGGCCGGTACGGGCTCTTCCCGGCCAACTACGTGGAGCTGCGGCAGTAGACGTGGCGGGTGCAGCCTCGCTGCCTTACGCCTGCCGCCGCCGCGGCTTCCACACTAGGAGTCATGCCTTTCGTTTTCCGTTTTTGTTTTTTGGGAGGTGAGGACGGGGATATACATATTGCCTTTATATTTAATACTTTCGCTGATGCTTTTGAAAATGTTTATGCCACAGAATTTGCTAATATATTGTAATCATGTTCCTTAGGAAGACTTGGGTAATTGTTTTTATGCATTCAAGGTATTTTCTTTTGCCAAAATGACTGTCCCATGAAGCCATTTCAAGGAACTTAATCTCTTGAGGCACGTAGTACGGCATGTTGACCTTGTGCCCGGTCGTGAGGGGTCGGATGCCCACGGCAGACACAGCGCTCTCCTTAAACGTTGGGCCTCCCGGTCGCCTCCCGGGTCAGGGAGTGTCGGGTGGCTCAGTGTTTCCCAAACTTAGAATCGAGGTACAGAGTGAGGAAGTGCGGTAGCTTTCATATCTGATGGGAAGCCTTTTCATGACGTGAAGCCCACAGTACTGATGAGTTTGGGGTCTCTGCCCCCTTCTACCCTGAGCAAAAACCCCAGTCTTTCTCCTGGGCCCCCCTTTGTGGCTGCCCTGACGCCTGGGACTACGTGTCTCTGAGTTCTCCAGCTCTGCACCCACAGCTCAGGGCCCTGGGGTTGTGATCAGCTGAAGGACCGTCAGGCAGCCTGTCAGTCAGGTGCGTCTCCCTGGTGGCCGGGGCGAGTCAGCCCACCGCAGCCGGGCTGGTACCTGCGGTGGTGGAAAGTGGGCTGCAGGAGGCCGAGCCTTCTCTGCCATAAACCGACAGGAGCGTTCTTCCGGGGAAGGGAATGTGCCGTGTTTGCCAAAACACCGTGTTAAACTACAGTAGCATTTGATCAATCGCCTTGCTAAAAGAGGAGATGAAAACGATTTAGTGTTGGACCAAAGCCCCACCTTGTGGCTCCTCAGGGTGCTGCCAACCCCTCGCTGGGCGGGAGCCTCACCTCCTGAGAAGCCGGGCAGCTGACCGGTCACCGTGCAGGCCGGGTCAGCTGTGCATCTTCCGGAAGACCTCTGGGTTGTCACAGGTCCCCGGGATACCCCATGACCACAGCACGCACAATTTCCTCTTCTGAAACACACTTCTGCAGACTCCTGGCTCCTCCAGAACTCGGTCGGGTTTTATATGCAATTTATTGTATCTAAATTTCTGTAGCACATCTCATAGGTATGATTTTTTTAAATTAAATATTCAGAATAAACTTTTTGATCCACTTGGCACATATCCTGCTCTGCTGTCTGCACTGTGTTTTGCGGTTCAGGGGGCTTTGTCTCCACCAGGGCCTGCTCCCCGGCTTGCCAGCCAGACCCCCACACTAGCCACACGCGTCCCGCACTCACGTCCAGCTTCCGACAGACAGAGGGTCCCTTTGAAGAGGATGCTCCTCAAAAGGCGCTTTTTATAAGGTCTTTTACTGCCCGTCAAATTTCCCAGCAAGGATTCCGAGCAAAATAGAAAATGCTGTGTTTAGAAAATCATTTCTGAATTACAGTTCTCAAAATAAATCCTGAGGTGGTTGCCATGAGGCTGCAGGTGTTATTTTCTCTTAGGCACAAGTTGAAGTCTGGAGGACACAGGCGAGCAGTGGGGCTGGTGGCAGCTTGCAGGCCTCCTGCTAGGTGCCATGGAGGCCTGGCCTCTGGTCCTGCCTGGCCGAGGCTGCTGGCCAGCGCGTGTGGGGCATGGGGGAAACAGGCAGGGAGGTGGCAGAAAGGTTCCATAAACTAAATCCAGGTAGTGTGTCTGAGTGACCGCTCCAGGTTGCAGAGGGCTGGCCACAGGCTCTGTCCACTGACCTGGCTCCCACAGTTTCCGTGGTGACAGGACACTTCACGTGTGGGTGGCTCCAGACAATGGCTGAGTGGATGCGCATGGAAACTTCGGGAGAAGCTGCTCTCACCATCCCTAGGAAAAACGGAGAAGAGCGAGTGGTGTAGAACACTGACGTCCTGGACGGTTGCCTGCTTCCCACTTGCAGGGGTTGGCAGGTGGCATTTTCTAGTCAGCACCAGCATGGTGCCTTCCTCCTCGGCCCCAGCACCTGTGGGACCCTGCGCCCCCTCCCAGGCCCACACTACCTGGGCGTCGCTTGACCTTGGGGAAGCCTCTGGAGGCAGGAGTCACAGGGACCTTTGGTTTTCAGCTGAACTGAACAGCCGACCAAGTGAATCAGCCGGGGCCCTTGAGGGCGAGGGCTCGAGTGGCGCACTCTGCTTGAACACTGAGAATTAAAAACTCTCTGTTCCGCCTCCCTCCCCGCCCTCCGGTGGGGTCTGTGAGGGAACAGGTCTCTGGGGAGCTGAGGGGGACATGGCGGGGGCGAGGGAGCTCGGGCTGAGGGCTGCTGCCTGTCAGGCCCGTGCCTCTAATGACGCGCCCTGTGTGCCCCTTCCAGCCTGGGAGTGAGCCCCCAAGGATACCGCACCTCCCCGTGCCTTCCCCGCACCCTGCCGCAACTTGGCCCCTGGTCCCTTTCCCAGCTTCGCTCACTGCAGACACGCCTCACGTGCTCAGGTGTGGGTGGAAGTCAGGCGTTCCCCGAACGCGGCAGGCATAGCAAGAGTCATGGAGAGAAGCAGAGGACTGTCCCCACGTTAGGAAGCTGCCACCAGCTGGGGGCTGGTCCTGAGGAAGTGGGGCAGGCAAGTGTCAGCCTGTTGCAGGGGGCTGAGCCCGGGGCACAGAGGTGGCGCAGGTGGGGACGAGGGCGCAGAAATGGCCCAACAGGAGCAGGACAGCCTGGGCCATGTGCAAGCGCTCCTGCTGGTTGGGTGACGTCGCGTGGCCAGGCAGCCTGTACACCAACCTGTACACCTTCTGGCACTTACCTGCCTCCCTGGTCTGATCCACCTTCTCAGATGCGATCGTCTTAAAGTCGACCCATCACTTCCGTCTCAAGGTAAAAACACCCCGCAGGCCCAGGCCGGCAGATGGCTGCTGGGGAGAGGTCTTCTCCCACGCGGGGGACTTCAGGCCGGCGGGGAGGTGGCTGTACTTTGCTCTAGAAATGTCCTTGTGGCATGCAGGGACCAATTTATCTTCGGGAGCATTCACTTTGCGCCGGCCACTCTGAGCAGCTCGGATGTTTCTGGAACGGGGCTTGGTGGAGGTCAGAACGTTCCTTTCATGTCTGGAAGATCCACCAGGACATCGGAGAGGCGCTGGTGTCTGCAGGAGGGTTAGCTGAGCACGTGCTACTGCTGGGCTGGAATGAAGCACTGTCGGGGGCTTAAATGGGCAACGCGGGAGCCCACTGCTGTGCTTAATCTCCGTGCAACCCCGAAAACAGGCAGCTGTACGAATATAACGGCGGGGGGTGAGACCCAGGGGCTGGGGTGCGGTAGATCCAGGAAGGCTCTTCAAAGGAAAGGAACCCTCCTTAAGATGTATAAGTTTATTTTTTTTAAACTTTTGTGTGTATCGGGTGAAAGTTTACAGTACAAATTAGTTTCTCACTCAACAATGTATACGCACAAATTGTTTTGGGACGCTGGCTGCAGTCTCCGCAATGTGTCAGCACTCTCCCCCTTTCCACCCCGGTTTCTCAGTGTCCGTTCGTCCATTTTTCCTGCCCCTCCCTTCTCGTCTTTGCTTTTGGGCACGTGTTGCCCATTTGAGCTCGAATACTTGACTGAACGAAGAAGCAGTTCCTCACATGTGCTGTTTGTTTTCTAGGCCTGTCTAATCTTTGGCTGAAAAGTGGGCTTCAGGAGTTAGCAGGGTTTCCGGGAGCCATAGTCTCAGGGGTTTCTCCAGTCTTTGTCAGACCAGTAAGTCTGGTCTTCCTTTGTGAATTTGAATTTTGTTGTACATTTTTCTCCCGCTCTGCGGCCAGGTCTCACTGCCTCCAGTGTTACATCTCTCTCCTGGCTCCAGGAGCTTCTCAGTGCAGGGATCCTGGCTCCAAAGGACGTGCTGGCTTCTGGCTATTCTTCCTTGGTGGTGCTGGGGTTCTCTCCCACCCCTGGGGTGGCTCATTTCAAGCCCAGCAGGATGGCAAAACTGACCAGTCCTTTTGGTAGGTCACAGTTACTCTATCACACAGTCCCACCCAATCACTTGGGTGGCATTGACAAGACCATGGCTAGAAAGGCCACAGAAGAGCGATCCATGGCACTGCAGAAGGTATTTTGTAAATGTCATTGGCGTTTATCACCAGTCAGTTCTAAGTAGATAACTCTCCATAATGTGGGTGGGCCTCATCCAGAAAGTTGAAGGCCTTAAGAGCAAAAACTGAGGTTTCCCAGAGAAGAAGGAATTATGCCTCAAGACTAACAAACATCCTGCCCGAGTTTCCAGCCTGCCTCCTGGTCTACAGCTTTTGGACTGAAGACTGCTGGAAATGCTAGCCTCTACTCATTACCCAATTCCAAAGCCCCTTCCACATTTTTAGGTACTTGTTCCAGCAGCACCCCGCCTACCAGCAACTGGTAAAACTGGTGGTACAGCTTAACAGTTTCCGGGGGCTGACGTAACAATACAACAAACTGGGGGGGCCTATGAGAACAGAAGTGTATTGTCTCGCAGTTCTGGAAGCCAGAAGTCCAAATCAATGTGTCTTATTACTTACTCCATGTTTCATTCCTTCTGAGGGCTCTGAGGGAGAATCTGTGTCTCTCTCCTGGTTTCTGGTGTTGGCAGTGATCCTTGGCGTACCTTGGCCTGTAGACGCATCTTCACGTGGCTGTCCTTCCTCAGTGTGTCCGTGTTTCTGTGTATCTTCTCTTTGATTATGGATTGAATTGTGCCTCCAAAAAAGCTGTGTTGAAGTCCTAACCCTTGGTACCTGCAGTAGGATGGACTGCTGTCCTTATAAAAGAAGAGACACAGAGGGAAGAGCACCACGTGAAGATGGAGGTAGATTGGAGTGATGCTGCCGGGAGCCGAGGACCACCTGGGACCACCACAAGTTGGAAGAGACAAGGAAGGATCCTCCCCTAGAGCCTTCAGAGAGAACGTCGCCCTGCCGACACCTTGAATTTGGATGTCTAGCTTCTAGACTTCTGGACTATGAAAG